AGAGAGCAGACGCAGAGGGCCAGAGCTGCCACGCCCAGAGGGCGCTCACGGACCGCACGTGCCTGTCGCACTAACACACTTTGAAAGGCGGAGGGCAAGGCACGCCTATTAGGCTAAGTGGTATGCCAAACTCGCCGGTAGGGCTTGGTGATGAAAAGCCGCTGGCGAACGGTCTAATCACTCGTGTCTACCTCGTTTGCCAAGGGAGCAGTCTTGCCCTCTGTTACCGCCTACTCATGTGACAGCGCAGGAATTCGGCGCGTTTAACTAAGGTCATCATTAGTCGACCTCTCCTCCCTTCTATTTGACATTCGGCCCAACAATTTCTGGTGCTTTCCGCCATTTGTCGCTTAGAAGCCTCCCGAATATCCCAAAGTCTGACCCAGTACAAGGTAGCGTGAGCGCCGCGAGGGAGGCGCCCACTCCTTCTTTTCACCCCTCCCCGTCGCAAGCATCTGCGCTCTTTCCGCGGCACCTCCGGCGCGCTGACGCTATCTGGCGGCAGATCCAGCGCAGGCGTTGCTCGACGGCTGCGTTACGATAGCCGCCGTATCTGCGGCTTCACAGCCGCGCCAGTCTGGTGTGCGCGCGATGCTCGCTGAGCCAGTAGACACTGAGTCAGCAGACAGTCAGACGGCCCGGGCAGACGCAGCGGCGGTGATCGCTGAGTCAGCAGACAGTCAGACGGCCCCGGGCAGACACAGCCGCGGTGATCGCTGAGTCAGTAGACAGTCAGACGGCCCCGGGCAGACGCAGCCGCGGTGATCGCTGAGTCAGTAGACAGTCAGACGGCCCCGGGCAGACGCAGCCGCGGTGATCGCTGAGTCAGTAGACAGTCAGACGGCCCCGGGCAAGACACAGCACCGCGGTGAATCTCTGAGGTCAGTAGACAGATCAGACGGCCCCGGGCAGACACAGCCGCGGTGATCGCTGAGTCAGTAGACAGTCAGACGGCCCCGGGCAGACGCAGCCGCGGTGATCGCTGAGTCAGCGGACAGTCAGACGGCCCGGGCAGACACTGACCCAGTGCCGTCGTGCGCAGTGGTGCGCAGCTGACTGGAGCAGCCCCAGCGGATCCGGAGGTGGCCGAGGGGCCGCCATCGCAGGCGATAGCCTTGGCGTTGGTCCGGCGTCGAGCCAACGGCGCAGCTCTGGCGTGCGTCGTAGACTAGGGCTCAAAATTGTATGAGCTGCACGTACCGGCCCGACCAAACGCCTTTGGAAAGCGTTTTTGTTCTGAACATTAGGGCGTAGGAGACCAAGATCTGCCTGAAGAATCATCATCGAAAATTCACGATGTCGCAGTCATTTTGCCACGTATAAAAACAAACGCAGCTCGTGTAACTTGGCACGCCATGTGTCGAATTGTGTGCCTAACATTTCGAAGGGCAACTCTCGCAACGAAGGGGATTGACCACAAAGGTTTTCCGCGTTTTTGAGAGAAGGCGACGCATATCGACAGGCGCAATGCGGCCATTACGCCCGATTTCCATGGGTAAAAGGTTAGTGCTTTGAGAGTGAGGGCTTTGGCCGAATATTGGGTAGCATATGTTACCAGTTACCATCAAGTTACCAGTGATGCCAAGTGGTGGCAGCCCCATGAGCGTAGCTCACATCGTGCGCCTGACAGCTGACAGCAGCGTAGCTGACAAGGTGGCCAAAAAGTAACATCTCAGGCAGCATAATCGATGAACATATTTTTTGTTTGCCGAGAGTGCAGCTTTGAATTTGCTCTGTGACTATCTTTCCACGCGACCGGAGGCGGTCCGTTAATGGTTGGAGCTCTATCGCTCTAGACGCTCTCTCGCTGGTTCCGTGATTAACACTAATGACTTGACTTATAGCCATATGCGCATGGTTACAAAAGTTTCGTCTGTGTACCCATTACCTGCATCTGTTATAAGACATCTGCAAGCATTTACACTTCTGGGGGTGTCGTCCACCTTAACAGTGTTGCCAACTGAATTTTGACATGACATTTCGTAAATTGGACCCACAATATGGTAGTGGTAGCATAAGTGATGGTATGGTTGGCATTATTTCTTAATCTCCTGGCATTGGAATGTAATCATTCGCACAATTCGGTGCGCACTGACGGTAGTCTTGGAAATTTGTCACTAACATTTGGAGCAAGATAACGTCTATGCATAAAGCGCAGCAGTTCCCGTGCATCTTGATACAACGCTGCATCTCGCCTCCAAATTACCCAGAAATCTCTCTCACAACACGATTCCATTCAACTGTCCGTTTCAACACCAGCAATTGTTCTCCGTCGTCACCTTTCACCCGGGGCGGCTTTGAGCCGCGCGGCACGCGAGCCGGGCCCGGAGTGTCGACATCCGTGCCGTCTCATTACTGGGGCCTGTTGAGGCGGAGTCCTTCAGCGAAGCTGCGGCGCGGCTGGCCGGCCTGCAGCGCCGCCGGCGCGGCCTGAGCAGACCCGGCGCGGCGGCACGCTGAAATACGGCCCCAACAAAGCCGGCACTGCGACACGCCAGGCGTCACAGAAACAATGCAGCCGCGCCGTGCAGCCGCCGCCCGCACCGCCAGGGTGCCAGCGCATTGTGCAACGAATGAAATCAAACAAGGTTACCCCCGCAAACGTTAACAGCAAAGAGCTTGTGTGGCTTAAAGTTTTCAATGGTTTCTGCCTGAACAATTCTGACGCAAGGTGCAGCCAGAGTGCTCCGCTCCTAATGTGGATCCTCGAGACGCTGCTCTTGGTGTAAGCTTGTCTGTTCTGTTTCAATGTCAGTGAACATTTTTTACAGCAATATTTCATGCTCGTGGATACATACCATTTGGTCGTCTTGTGCATCGGCCAGAGGCATTGTTTGCGCAATGTCCAAGATGGTTCGAAAACAGTTCGCTTCGAAGCGTGTTCTGTATCTAAGGTGTGATTTAAATAACGACCAAATAATGTATATGAGTGCTGGTTTCAGGTCAATCTGTTCTGAACGGTGACTCTTAATATCCCCAAGTATTTATGTTTCGCGAACTAGGCGCGGAAAGTGAAGAGCTTGAACATACAAAAAGTACGCAAGTGATGCACACGCACGTCTTCATTTGGGCTTTATTAGCATACGGTGTTTGCAAAAATGTGCTGACACTGCATATTCCTTGGCGTTGTTTTAAGCCCACCGGTTAGCTCGAGCTAGACGGCGGATTTATATGTACCCAAGCAAGCCATAACAATAACTCGAGGAAGGATGTGGAGGATCATTACCACACTTGCGCTACGTTTCTATTATTGGGCAAGGCTACCATCACAAGCACTAACAAAAACAAAATACATCGTGCAGATATACACGAGAAGGCACGAGCTGTAGATTGTAAGACATGAATCACAACCAGCTTCCAAGATACAAAGGGATGTAATCATACATGAAACCTGCTACCGACAATGTTTTGCAGACCCGCAGGAATGACAATCTCATTCGGAGCTTACTTGTTTGGCTCGTTTCTCAACGTACAGCTACGCCACCACACCTTAGTTTTCATGAGTGTGGGCAAGTGAGATGAGGTATCTAGTGGTCCTCGAACTATACGTTCGTCTGATGTGCGGTTCGGGTTTGGCGCTCTGTTCTAAGACTGCGTGACCTAATTTGAGCGGTGGTCTGTAACCTGCCTGTGGGTTAGCGTATGGAAAAGGTCAGTTCCGGTTTGATGTTACTTCACCGGCCATCACGTGGCTACACCTGAGCGGGAGTCGCACCCCCTGACTTAAGGAGCGGAGAGCGACAAGTTATTCAAGCGGTTGGGACGCCGATTACAAGGAACAGCTTCTACTCACGCCAGTAAGCTCTTCACACAAACGCCTGCTTCCATTTGTCCCTCACATGTAGCCTCCTGCACCACTCCGTCACCAGCAAGCAGCAGCAACTGCACGCAGGCCAGTGATAAATGACGGCACGCTGACAAACGAGCCATGCTAATTACGTCGCATCTGCCGGACCAGGCCGCGTGTCGATGCGTGTGGTAGCCGGTGCGTGAGCGGATCAGTTAGAGAGTGCCTCGGCGGCGGCGAGAGAGAGAGAGAGAGAGAGAGAGAGAGAGAGAGAGAGAGAGAGAGATAGAGAGAGAGAGAGAGAGAGAGAGAGAGAGAGGAGAGAGAGAGAGAGAGAGAGAGAGAGAGAACCTGAGAGTAGAGAAGAGAAGAGGAGAGAGAGAGAAGATAGACGAGAGGGAGGAAGCGGCTCACATTGCCAGGCCAGCTGCCGCGCGCACGCCTCCACCCCTCCTCCGCGCCCCACCTACGCCGGCAGCTGACGTGTAATCTAAAAAGGCCGCCGTCGGGACACCAAAAAACAGTCAAGAAGCCAGGAAGTCAGCTGACCTACCAGCCGCCCCGATCCTGGCCTGTGTCAAGTGAATCATGATTGTGTTTGCAGTCCGCGTGGTTGATAGATTACGCATTGTAATCAGATGTGGTCTTTTTACTGGCATTATTGTATGTTCTTCACTTGGCTAACGACACGACTCATCAGTCATTTCGATAGCACACGGCTGTACATACACTGGTAAGGCTTATGTTGATATCTGACAGACGAGCACGTACTTCCCACGTAAGCTTCACTTGTTGATGAAACGCATAAGTCGTCCCTGGACAGAAGCATGTTCTTGTCTATGCCGCAGTTATCGGGGAACTATCATGCCTCCAAGCGCATCGCAATAAATCAGCAATGATCGATAGCATTTTTTGAGCGGTATCTTTGAAACGTGGCTTTCACATTGTTTACTCCTCCACACTGGGAATTTGTCACTGTAGTGATGGTATCGAATTTCTCCACAAACGAAGAAACATGGCTTACATCCGGTCCGACGGGCTGTAAAACCTTTGTGCTCCAGTAAGCATAACCTGCCGACAAGCGTGGAGACGACAGCTGCTGCCATCTACCGACGAGCGCATGAGTCGGCCCGAACTCCAGCTGACTGGAGAGACGGGCCCGCTGCTCGGCACCGGCCGCATCGCGCCCTGTTAGTCTGGCACGAGCCGCGGACGCCGGTGGAGCGTCGGGACGCCGCTCGGACGCTCGTGCCTGCCGCCGACTGAGTGCGGGCCTGAAGTGGTGACGGTGACCGGCTGGTGACTGCGACGGCATGCGGCTGCTGGTGATGAGTTGGTGGAGCTGACCAGCAGCACACGGGATCGCTGCAGGTGACGCGAGTGCGTGGATGAGAGTGCAATGGCGCCGCTGGTGGCGCTCCTGCTGGGACTCGCGGCGGCGACGGCCGCCGAGTCCGAGTGCAGCTGGGAGAGCAGTGTGGACGGCGGACAGATCCGTGTTCTCTGCCGACCGAGGGCGATCGACGCTGCCTTCACTGTCGGCGGGAAAAGTGCGACACTCCCCGAGTCCAGTGTCACCTCGCTGGTGACCCGGTGTCGCAGTGCGGACGTCGAGAGCTACCTGAGCAACGGCACGTTCTCTGGTCTGACTGGCCTGGCGGAGCTGACGGTGGAACGGTGCAGGATCGCCACGCTGCCCGCGGTGCTAGACCAGCTGAGGCAGCTGCGCTCCCTCAGCCTGAGAACGTTCAACGACGACGTGCACATGGTGGTGGAGGGCGGCGCCCTGGGTGAGCTGCAGGCGCTCCAGCACCTGGACCTCAGCCACAACAGGCTGTGGACACTGCCCGGCGCGCTGCTGTGTCCTCTGCAGAACCTGCGGAGCCTTAACCTGTCGCACAACCACATCCAGGACGCCGAGGGTCTGGGCCTGCACGGTGCCGGTGACCCGATCTCGCTGTCGGGTCCGCTCGAGTGTCGCCTGCCGGAGGTGACCTCACTTGACCTGAGCCACAACCGTGTGCCGACCGTGGGTACTGCCATGCTCGAGCCCTTCCCGGCGCTGCTGCGTCTGTCGCTGCGCCATAGCCGTGTGGAGCTGCTGGAGGACGGAGCGCTGGACAGCGTGCCCTCTCTCGGCCAGCTGGACCTGTCCGGCAACGAGCTGGTCAGCCTGCCGCACGACTTGTTCCTGAGGACGACCACCCTGTCCAAGATCCGACTAGCCAACAACAGCTTGTCGGCACTGACGCCCGGCCTGTTCTCCGGCCTCAGCCAGCTGCAGCTGCTGGACCTCTCCGGAAACCAGCTCACCTCCACGTGGATCAACTCTCAGACCTTTTCCGGGCTGGTGCGGCTCGTCGTGCTGGATGTGTCGGCCAACAGGCTGAACCAGATCGACCAGTCCATGTTCTCAGACCTCTACAGCCTGCAGATGCTGAAGCTCCAGGACAACCAAATTGATGCTATATCTGCAAACACGTTTGCCGCCCTCTCCAACCTCCATACGTTGGCTCTGTCGCGCAACAATTTGCACAGAATCGATACCCTAAGCTTGAATGGTCTACACATGTTAAGTTCCCTGTCGATGGACGGCAACATCATTGACACTGTTCGCAAGGGAGCGTTCAAAAACACCACCAATCTAAGGAACCTGAAACTGAACGAGAATCGTCTGACCCGTGTTCCCGAGGCATTTGAAGACCTTCACCTGCTAGAAACCTTAGATCTCGGGAGTAATTACGCATCTAGCGTAGAAGATAAGCGTTTCTTTGGCATGAATCAACTGCAGTCTCTCCACATGCAGGGAAACATGCTCACCAACGTAACGAGCAAAATGCTGAGCAGCCTTCCGCAGCTGAAAGTCCTCAACCTAGCCAACAACCTGATCAGCGCAGTGCAGTTTGAAGCGTTCGAATCAAACGCAGCTCTCGAAGCCATTCGGCTGGATGGGAACCAGCTAACGAACATCAGCGGCCTTTTCCGTGGTCTGTCACGTCTGCGTTGGCTGAACATGAGCAACAATCAAATCGACACGTTCGACTACGGCATGCTTCCAAATGGCATTCAATGGCTGGATCTGCATCAGAACAAGATTCGGCAGCTAGGAAACTATGACGACGTTGCAAGTCAGATGTCCATCACGACCCTGGACGCCAGTTTCAACAGGCTGACGTCACTGAGCGGCAAGAGCCTGCCGAACAGTGTCGAGCTGCTGGTGCTCAACGATAATCTGATCACGCACGTGGAGCAGTACACATTCTTTCTCATGACTAACCTGTCACGAGTCGACCTGTTTGCCAACCAAATCACGAAGCTGGAGCTGAATGCCTTGAGGTTGAACATGCCGAACGGCACAAATGTTATGCCTGAAGTATATGTCGGTGGGAATCCCTTCATCTGTGACTGTGGCATGGAGTGGTTGCAGCGGTATGATCAGATCGAAAATCTCTATCAATATCCACGCATCATGGACTTGGAGAGTATCTACTGTAGACTGACCTACAGTCGAGAACGTGCTTTCGTTCCTCTGGTAGACGCCGACACCTCAATGTTTTTGTGTCCGTACCAAACCCATTGCTTTACAACATGCCACTGCTGCGATTTTGATGCTTGCGACTGTGAGATGACGTGTCCAAACAAGTGTGACTGTTACCATGACCAATCGTGGTCCTCAAACATCATCGACTGCACGAACAACGGGTTTGAAGAGATTCCAGACCGCCTGCCAATGGATGCTACCCAGGTGTACCTGGACGGGAACGTCTTCCGCAATCTCTCCAGCTTGACGTTTCTGGGCCGCAAAAACATGCAGGTGCTCTACCTGAACGGTTCCCACATAGAGGTCATTCACAACGAAACCTTTGCTGGTCTCCCAAGCCTTACCGTCCTTCACCTGGAGTCCAACGTTATCACTGAACTCCACGGCCAGGAGTTCGTCGGTCTGAACCACCTCCGAGAGCTTCACCTGCAGGACAACCGGCTCCGTCAGGTGGCGGACGTCACGTTTGTGCCGCTGATCCAGCTGGAAGTGCTGCGTCTGGACGGCAACCAGCTGGCCATGTTCTCGGCATGGGAGCTGCAGCGGAACCCCTACCTGGTCGAAATCGGACTTGTCGGCAACCCCTGGAGCTGCGAGTGTAACTTTGTCAGCCAGCTCCGCGGCTGGCTGGCCACCAACGTCAGAAAGGTGGACGATGTCAGCGCGCTGGTTTGCTTCTTCGGTGGAAGGGACAGCGGAGTGCCGGTGCACGCAGAAAACGGCACGTGCTACACGAGACAGACGGAGCCGACCGGCCGGACGATGTCGGCGTCCGAGTACGCGGTGATCGTGGTGAGCGCCCTGGCGATGGTGACGCTGCTCGTCTGCCTGCTCGTCCTCGTGTCTGTGTACAGGACCGAGCTGCGCGTATGGATCCACTCGCGCTGCGGCGTGCGCGTCTGCTACCGCTCGGCGCTGGACGAGCCGCACGAGCGGCTGTTCGACGCCTTCGTCAGCTACAGCGACCGGGACCGGTCGTTCGTGCACCACGTGCTGGTGCCCAAGCTGGAGCGCAGCGAGCCGCCGTACCGGCTGGCGCTGCACGACCGCGACTTCCCGCACAGCGCCTACCTGGCCGACACGATCGTCGAGGCGGTCGAGTCGAGCCGCCGGACAATCATGGTGCTCTCGAAAAACTTCGTGGAGAACGAGTGGTGCCGCTTCCAGTTCAAGTCGGCGCACCACGAGGTGCTCAAGGACCGCCAGAAGCGGTTGATAGTGGTGATGCTAGGAGACGTGACGCACCGGGAGCTGGACCCTGACTTGCGGCTTTGCCTGAAAGCCAACATGTGCATTAGTTGGGAGGACAAACGGTTCTGGGAGAAGCTCCGCTTCGCCCTGCCAGACGTGAAGAACAACCATCGAGTGCTGAACTCGGTCTCCCACTACTCGGAGATCGACGAGAGCGTGTGCTATCGGCGCACCCCTGACACCATGGAGAGCGTCTGGGGCTGAGGTGAGTTCGTTTTTTACGTGATTTCTACACAAGTCCCTCTCCCAGCACAGCTGAACACTGAACATTTGAACACTGAACACTGAACACTGAACACTTTTTCCCTGTGACCCCGATCTGAGGGCTGGGGAACTGTCGGCTATCTGCGGCTATATGGGCATGCATTGATCATGCGGCTGCTTGATCCTGAAACATGTTTGCACATTTGCACATGTATTTTCAATGTCCACATATCCACCCTGTACGAATGTGAGGTTTTGAAATTGGATCACCTTTTTGCTGTTTAAAATAGCGCAAAATACCTCAAGAACCTGTTGCCATGCTCTGGGTACACCAACGCAGACATCATCGAACCAATTGATACCATAATCACATGCATGCAAACTTTGGCAGAACCCTTGCCCACAAGGGAGCGGAGGTCGATGCAACCTTTACTCTGTTGGAAATATTTTCTTGTCGCGCCCTGGAAGCACGCTCAAGTTATTGTGAGCCCCAAGGACATTCAATGCACATGTTTTGGCACCCGCTTCGTGTCTGGCTTTCATGGCTTCTGCGGAGCGGCCTTTTTAGAATCTCCGTATGACAACGCTTCTGCCAGCGTGGGCGACAGGAAGTTACCCAGGAGAACAGTCAACATTTTCTTGGGGAGAGAGGGGAGGGAGCTGAGTAGAAACTCATCACGCTGATTTTTTAAGCTTGTGTCTGGAGCCATTTATAGCCAGGGGCGTCGTTTCACACAGCTTTGTACAATAAGGTGTGGGGGGGGGGGCGAGGGGCTACTGAGCAGAAAGAAATGGCGTAGTCTAATCTCAAAATAGTCTGAAAACGAGTCTCTCCCGGACTTGGCATCCTTTCTTTACAAAGTTGGAGGCTAGGAAACTTTACCATTGTCTAGGGTGTAAGAATACAAAAAATACCCAAAAAAATGTTTACCTATGAAAACATTTTTTTTTCGGCACGGAAGGGGGCTCGGGCTTCCCTTCCTGATGAGCCTCTGGAGTTACCCGCTTGATTTGAATCAAATTTAAAAAAGGATTGACCACTCGAAATCGAACTTTCTACGTCGTGTGGGTGATGATGCGGCGCCGATGCAGCCGACGAATCCCTTTTAGTATATCCCCCCATAGAACGGTGCATACACCGTTACACCGTTCCACTCATGAAACCTCTGCACCATATGAATTGGTTTGAAACACAAAAATGAATGCTCTCAAGATTGCATAAAAACACACCCGTATACGCACCAAACTGATGTATCGCATGGTTGCGCAAATTTTGAAATATAACTCTGAAAAGGTCTGATCCCTGGGTAACGAGCTAGCCTTAACCTGACAGCATAGGACCAATCACCGATCAACGAAAAAATTGTGACCAATCACGAAATGTCGTTCAGGCCAATCCAATAGCTTTCTGTGTAGATCATTCGTAGTTCGGAAGAGGCAGGGTGTGTTGCGCCGACCCTTGCCCCTCCCCACTCCGCGAACAATCTGCTATGCGCTATGAAATGCGGCAAATGCGGCAGAGGGCCAAGGCGTCTACCCTAAGGCTCGTGTGTGATTTGAAAGTGATGTAGATGCGTTCGTTGGGTCGTTGTACCATTGTGTTGTATCATTTATAGGGTTAATGCTACTCGTCTAACACATACAGCACAACGATGTCATATTGACCATTTTCAAATGTCCCTGGTGATATTTACGCGTCATCATGCAGGTCATATCTAAACGTGTTGGCTGGGCGGGGAAATACCTTCCCAGTCGCCCAACGGCATGCACAGTCGTCCAAGTATCTCTCCCCAGTAGCTGAATTTAGCCGCCCCAGTAAGTACTGAATTATGCTGTGCGCCAGCAGAACAAAAATGCCTGCATACATGGCGACAAGAGCATTTGCTTCCATGCAGGATACTTAATGTGTTAAATGTGGATAGCTCCAACCCCCCCCCCCCCCCCCAGCCTCCTAGTCACGCGGCTTGATTGCTCTGTGAAAACTTCCTAAGATATGTCTTAGTAGTAAATTTTTGCTTTCATTTGCTTTATCAAGCTATTTACATATGCTGACAACGTGTAAATGTCTTTCGGGTACGAATGTAACTGCTATCATTCTTCATATACCTATCTGATATCGATCAGTGTAGCGTTTCATTGGGGAATCGCAGGCTATGCAAGGGTTACACGTAATGAAGAGCAGTGTGTTCGTGCCAGATCACGGCGTGCTGAGCTGTGTTAGAACGCTACATTCAATTTTTAAGCAAAAGTTGTGCTGGTCCATAGACAGTTTGGATAGACAACACTTTTGTATTACATAAATTTACCTTTCTTATATTAGAAGTGGCACATCACCTAAAATACTGCTTGAAAGTGCTACACCCGAAACGGGAAATAAAAAATTGTAGTCCTCATGCATATGCTGCTGTTGTTTAAGTTTTGTCCCCTCTTAGGATTAGCTGTTATTTGCTCAGTGTACTCGTCAGTGACTTTGCATTGAAACGCTACGAGAAATAACGAAAGGATTGGAAGGGAATCTTAAGATTAAGAGGAAACTCTTTAAGCGTGGGAAGTATCTCCTTAAAATAAAAGGGAACCTTTTAAGATTAAGAAAAAGTCCTAAAAGTGAAGACATTATCTAAAAATAAGAAGAGACTCTTTCGAAGCTAAAAGCTCTCTCATGTAAAAGGATGCTCTTTCAAGGTAAGAACAAACTTTTTTAAAGTGAGGGTAAAAGGGCACTTTTGTCATTCATCTAAAATGCTACCAAGTTCATCTTCATGCTAATCCCAACGACGTCTGCTAAATGTCAAGCATGTACACCATGCGGTGAGCAAAACAGACTTTACACGCTGCTACCGCGTTTGCAGTTAAAAATTATCTGTAGCTATCTGTCATGCACATTTTACTCCATAGTCTCAGGCCCGCTAAGTTTGTAACGGTCTCTTTAAATTAAAGCAGACCCATGCTTGGAAGTGCCTCCTTCAAAACTGTTGTGAGTGGAAAATGCTTGGGTCCCCATATAAGAACTTTTTTGAATTCCTAATCACTTTCAGCGAATCTTTGCCCAGATCGACCGGTTCACTGCATTGTTTTCATCCTCCTTAAATCAGTAATCAACGCTCGGCTCTTCGTTCTGAATACGCTTTGATTATACTTTTACGGCTGAGATGTAAAATTTTACGAAGCACCTATCGACGCAAAGTGCCGATTATCTGCGGGCTTCCAAATCCGGTGGAAGTCGGAATTAGACGCCAGGGAGGAATGGCCGACCACCACACTGGGCTGGCGAGCAGGCGAAGAGTGCTTCAGCGACGGAGTTTCTGATCATTTTAAGCCTGCCCATAATGCGACCGAACGTTGGTTTTCGCAATGATAGTTTGTTTTCAACGGGCCAAACCCAGGCTGTTACAGCCGAAATGAACCGGAACCTGGAGCCAATCAACAGATTCAGTAATTCAGAAAGCTCATATCGCTTTCGGGGTGGCGAGAATTGTTTGAACTGTAGTCGAAAGCGATTAGAACACCGAGTTCACATGCAGACAGTGAAAGCACATCATCGTTCGCATGAAATTATGTCCTCGCGCAAGGTCAGAGCGAGCTACATCCGGCACTTGGAAAATATCATCGCTACAGGCCTACCATTTGAAAACAGAACTACCGGTCTGCCAAGCCTGTCCGTTCTCTGGCGTCCGACGTTCTCTCGTACTCCGCCTGCACGCCGCGGTCATTCTTGCTGACGTGCACTGCCTCCGTACGAGGCACGCAACACGCCTCCCTCCCGCCTCAACTCGGACCAAAAGTTTCAGCCTTCCCTCCTGAAAGCGATGCGGACAGCGGCTGGCTGGGGTTTCTCCAGCTTGTTTGCCCGTGGCTGCTGGTCGGATCATTATTGGAAACATGTCAGTGGTGGGTGCATGTAAGTTTGGCCGGCCGGGCAATATAGCGCTCCTCCAAGCCGCCCGGTGAATGAAAACCAGCAGCCGCACAAAGGCTTCGCTGCGAACCAACAGGAGGTGGGTTGGCGCCGGCATACCGGTGCTGATTCTCATGAGAACTGACCTTAATAAAGCGGAGCACGTGTGCGGAGTATGTCCATTGACTTGATCTGGGTGAGCGGGGCCAGGCGTAATGACGAGTTAGCCGTCTTACTGTGCATCTATCTCTGAAATTAGCTGCCGTCTAGTTAACTAAAGCACCCTTCATTGTCACTTACGGCTTTTTAAGCTGATTACATTGCGTTAATAGCTCATTAATTCAGCAGGCTGCAGCCGAGGTGGCGGTACGAGAGGAAGCTTGCATTAAGTTGGCACGGACCTCCACTTCAGGAGCTCGCTCCAAATGTCCACGAAATTGACCACTCCTGGTGTTGGCACCACTATGAGCCCAGGCGCGGTGCCGAAAGTTGTTAACTATGAGCCCGGCGCGCACGCGGAGACCTACCAGACTTCGATGCTTCCAGCGCATCTTTAATTCATGTCATTGATCCAACAGACGTCCAGTCGATCTTTTTCATTTTGCTCAGTCCGATAGTGGACAGTTGATGCGGACTTGAGCCACCATGCGCCGTTTCGCTCACACATATCTGTTCTGCGATGGTGCTCTTCGGCTTCATAGCCCATCAAACGCATGTTTTTGCAGACTGGCTGATCCCGCCACGGCCGCAATGTATGCCGCTCGTAACATATATAACATACATGACGGCAGCGAGCGACTGTTTTCAGTCGCCAAGCAAGATAAATGCTCCCATGGAAGGCATCACGGACACCGATTACGAACAATCAATCACTTTCCCGTCGCCGCGATCCATCGCTACACTGCGAGCTCCCGTCGCCGCAGTCCATCGCTGCACTGCGAGCTCCCGTCGCCGCAGTCCATCGCTGCACCGCGAGCTCCCGTCGCCGCGATCCATCGCTGCACTGCGAGCTCCCGTCGCCGCGATCCATCGCTTCATTGCGAGCTCCCGTCGCCGCGATCCATCGCTGCACCGCGAGCTCCCGTCGCCGCGATCCATCGCTGCACCGCGAGCTCCCGTCGCCGCGATCCATCGCTGCACTGCGAGCTCCCGTCGCCGCGATCCATCGCTTCATTGCGAGCTCCCGTCGCCGCGATCCATCGCTGCACCGCGAGCTCCCGTCGCCGCGATCCATCGCTGCACCGCGAGCTCCCGTCGCCGCAGTCCATCGCTGCACTACGAGCTCCCGTCGCCGCAGTCCATCGCTGCACTGCGAGCTCCCGTTGCCGCAGTCCGTCGTTGCACTGCGAGCTCCTGCCGCCGCAGTCCATCGCTGCACTGCGAGCTCCCGTCGCCGCAGTCCATCGCTGCACTGCGAGCTCCCGTCGCCGCAGTCCATCGCTGCACTGCGAGCTCCCGTCGCCGCGATCCATCGCTGCACTGCGAGAGAGAAAGCGCTCCAGCAGCTTGTCAGTGGTTATAGCCCAAGGCAGGGCTGAATAGGCCCAGTATCTAAACGGAGTGTGGATGTGGCTCGCGGTCCTGAATTTGCGTAATTTCACAGTTCATTCGTGTTTTGCTGCAGACGCCAAAATGCACAGAAAAGAAAGGGGAGCAAGGGAACACTGCCAGCAGGTGCTTACATTATCGCCTATGCTCCCAAATAGCCTGGCGGTATTTAGTTTTTATGGCCGCGTTGAATACGAGGTAATTGTCCGTTTCGTCAAATCCGATTTCCCTTTTGAGGACAGCGGACAAACTTTCGGCCTTTTCGGATAGGCGAGTTTTGAATATCCTGGATCGCAATGATTACAGTACTATATAGATGATACAACTAATTCAACAATAACGGGTGAATCTGGAATTAAAACCAAATGGTTTTGTGACTAGCACACAACAGAAGGATAGTTGACGCGACCCGTTCCGTATGGCGGAGCGGCCGCCGCCAGGCCGGGCGGGCGGGCGGTGGGGCGGTGCGTGGGACCGAAGTCGTCTGTGACGAGCACGACGACTGCCGCTGTCCCACGCGGCGGCCGGCCCGGCCCGGCCCGGCCCGGCAACATCAAAGGGCTGACCTTGCTAAGGCAGGCCACAAATCACGGCCGCCAACAAGCCACTTGCTTTAGCCGCCGAACCCTCCCTGTTGACTCATGAGTTATGTCTCGGTGTAAAGCTGTTGCAGAGGAGCACGTGAGGCTAATCATAGTGCTGACTGCAATTGTACCGGAAGCAGTCCATTTATTCTCGGAGCGTTCTCGCGCATTGGCCCCACGCACAAGAACGTCGGGAGTGTTATCGTGAAAGCCCTCATCAAAATGCTTGGCAAATGCTAAATCCGGGTAATGAATTGTCAGTTTCCAGACCGGTGCCTTACCTGTTCTCCCCTCTAACATCCTTGTAGCTCAACACATTAATAACCTTAGGTTACACCAGACCTTGGACGTGCTTTGAAATGATTAATTCAGTTGTGCACACCTAAGTGGTGCTCAGAGGAAACAAATATTTGTGTCCAAATATTGGAAAAGAGGAAACAAATATTGTCCGTGTCCCTCATAATGTTTTCCACGTGCTCTAATCACGGTGTGAGGCACTCTGTCTCCCCTCTACCACCTCTGTTTCGCTCCTCTCTATCCTTATATACATACATATATATGTGTAATATATATATATATATACATATATATATGTAATGGGAACATCACAAAGACACAATGGGAACACTATTGTCACAATCACATCGGAAGTGCTCACCGCCCACCACCTAGTAGCTCAAGAGCTCTGCAAGAATTTGTCTGTCTGTTTAAGGCCGGAGAGAGTTCGTTAATGAAAATGCTTTCCCAAATTTGAAGACGTCTTCTGTCACTGCACGTCCGTAAAATGTCAGTGCTGTCTGTCAGTTGTTGTCGTGTCAATGTCATGTCGTGTTCCTGTCGCATGTGGTCCAGGGGTGCCCCGTCACGTAAGTGCATTGTCAGGCGTCGTGAGAGTGTCGTTGTGGTCACACCAATGTAGTGTGTGGGACGAAGTTTGCAGCCTTCGATGTTGCATTGGAATTGATACACTACATTGGTGCATTTCAGTTTGTCGTGTTTGTCTGGGCTGTTTCTCATAAGAAAGTTCGATATCTTCTTATTACAATAGTAAATGACTATGTCTATTTTGTGGTCGTTTTTGCCTTTAACATGTTGAGAGATAATTTCCCGTAAAGCTTTTTCATCCTGTTTGTGAGCAGATGTCATTTGATTTTGATAGTACAGTTTGACGGTCGGTTGGATGTCTTGCCTTGGTTTGCTGTCAAAGTGTCTTGTCATATGTCGTTGTGTCTCGTTTTCAATGTCAGAATTTGAAAAACCGTTGTTCACCAGGATTTGTTTGATTCGTGTACAATTCTGAATGTAGTCCTGTCCAATCAGAGCAGCGCTTAAATGCTCGTCGAAGAAAGGACCTTATGACGCTAATTTTGTAGCGTCGAGGACACTCACTGTCAGCATTTAAGCACCGTCCGTTGTTAGTCTGTTTTCGGTATACAGTCGTTTTGAATTGTTGTCCTTGTCCACAAACTTGTCCCTTGTCTTTTTTCATCCTGTTTGTCCACAAACAGGACGAAAAAAGCTTTACGGGAAATTATCTCTCAACATGTTAAAGGCAAAAACGACCACAAAATAGACATAGTCATTTACTATTGTAATAAGAAGATATCGAACTTTCTTATGAGAAACAGCCCAGACAAGCACGACAAACTGAAATGCACCAATGTAGTGTATCAATTCCAATGCAACAACGAAGGCTGCAAACTTCGTCCCACACACTACATTGGTGTGACCACAACGACACTCTCACGACGCCTGACAATGCACTTACGTGACGGGGCACCCCTGGACCACATGCGACAGGAACACGACATGACATTGACACGACAACAACTGACAGACAGCACTGACATTTTACGGACGTGCAGTGACAGAAGACGTCTTCAAATTTGGGAAAGCATATTCATTAACGAACTCTCTCCGGCCTTAAACAGACAGACAAATTCTTGCAGAACTCTTGAGCTACTAGGTGGTGGGCGGTGAGCGCTTCCGATGTGATTGTGACAATAGTGTTCCCATTGTGTCTTTGTGATGTTCCCATTATGAGTGTTTCTTACATGTATGAAGATGAAAAAATATATGTATATATGTATATATATATATATATATATATATATATATATATATATATATATATATATGTATATCTATGCATAATATCTATGTATATATACACATATATGCATCTGATATATATATATATATATATATATATATATATATATATATATCCCCTTGTCTCGCCTCACTCTGTCCGTTCACCACGGCTTGTCTTCCCTGTTTCAGACGCAGCCTCAGGGGTACGCACTCAGACGGTGTCCACCAGGCCGTGGCTGGCTGGCGGCCGCCTGCTCCGCCGGCCGCCTCTGGGCTCGACGAGGTGCGTCTGCAGCCGCGGCGCTGACTGCGCACCGCGTCGGATCCGCCGGACTCCGTGGGACTCTGCGGGATCAGTGGATCAGCAGGGCTCCGCGGGGCTTTGCGGGATCAGTGGATCAGCAGGACTCTGTGGGATCAGTGGATCGGCGGGACTCCACCGGATCAGCGGATCAGAAGGACTCCACGGGGTCAGCGGATCAGTGGGACTCTAACGGGTCATTGGATCCGCGGGACTCCATCGGATTAGTGGGTCAACAGGACTCCGCGGGATCAGTGGATCAGCAGGACTCCGCGCGGTCAGCGGATTAGCGGGACTCATCGGGATCAGCGGATCAGCAGGACTTCGCGGGATTAGCAGATCAGCTTGCCCCTGGCCCGCTCAGCTGGAGCAGCTGACCCCCAGTGCTGTGATCGCTGAGCGGGACGCGCAGCAGACGACTGGCAAGGACGGGGCAGTCGCGCTGCGGGGTCGTGTTCATCTCTCGCGCTTTATCATCGTGCTTCATGCCTACAGTCACCTGTCTCCAGCAGAGCCGCTGGTGCGCTCCGTGTCGAGTATAGTCCCACGCATGTTTATGTTGCTCTAGTCACCTGACCACATCGGCGGCGATGCTACTGTATTCTGTGATAAGCGGCGGAACGGCAATACACGAAATGCTTATTGTGAGCGGCCAATTTTAACGTTCGACGCTGCGGACGACAGGACGGACGAGATGTGTTGCAACGGACACCGTACACTCGAAGAGGAGGCCTGATCGACGTCAGCTTGGGGATATTCAACACGTACGACGCGTTGTTCACGGATCGTCCATTTACAAAGGACATATTGGAAACGCACGGGTCCGATAACGAAATCGCGTACGAAAACACGGATATCTGTTTTGCGGATGCTGACCGGCCTGCCGCCGTCTGTTCCGCGATGCAATCTCTGTTTTCGCAGTTACAGCAACGAGCTGTGGGTTTGTTTGCAAAACACGGCGGCCCGCAGGGAAAACAAGCGGCCCGGGGGCTCCCAACCAAAGGCGAAGCAGGCATCGGGACCTGACATAGGCCAACGGCACAGGATGATCTGACTGGCTGTCCGAGCACTGATGCATGCACGGCATGGATGGCCACAGAGATCACACCTGGCACCGGAAGAACGCTGCAGAACATATCACGTCCAAGTCAGCTGGATTTGCCGCGACCAAGTTCGTGATCAAAACCCCAGCCCGTAAATTCATCATGTGACCCAAAATGCCTACAGGAATAACCGCAGAGTCGTTCACAAACTCATTCGGGTATAGACAGCATTTGAGATAAGATTCCGCTGATTTTAGCCAAACATGCCAAAAGGTAGATGTTTTAACAAGTCGGTAGCATCTAACACATTGAAACTGCCCACCAGGGAACATAAGTCCAGCATTGGACTACACCAGCGTGCTCTGAAGCTTTTACGTCACTCCTACATTCGCCTCACCGTAGAAAATGGCTGGAACGACCTGTGCAAAGAATGCGTGATAAATTGGAAGAACCAAGATCCTCAGGAATATGCGCACACTTGGCTGACTTGACTTCCGCCTGACGGATGTCATGTGTCCCGGCTCTACAAGCAAAAATAGCATATCTTATTGACGGCCAGCCCTCAACAAGCATATCTTATTGACAGCCAGCCCTCAACAGCTAGGCTCTAAGTTGGCCCTTGGGGATTATCCCAGCTGACGTGATGGTGTTAGTCAGCCTGACGTGCAGCCTTTGTCGCAGCACAGAAGACCGGTCCGTCGTCACATCCGCCAACAGACGGTCTCGCCGGCGCCAGCTGTGGCGGTCAGCACTACTGCGCGTCTGAGGGCAGCCGGTGGGCCGGGTTCCTCCGGCCGGGACAGTCGCCAGGCCGGGGCAGACGGCGGGCGGGGGCAGCCGGCAGGCTGGGCTCCTCCGACCGGGACAGCCGGCGGGCCGGGGCAGCCGCCAGGCCGGGTTGCTCCGGCCGGGGCAGCCGCCAAGCCGGGCTCCTCGGCCGGGGCAGCCGGCGGGACGGGGCAGCCGCCAGGCCGGGCTCCTCGGGCGAGGCATCCGCCAGGCCGGGCTCCTCCGGCCGGGGCAGCCGGCAGGCCGGGTTCCTCCGGCCGGGGCAGTCGCCAAGCCGGGCTCCTCCGGCCGGGACAGCCTGCGGGCCGGGGCGGCCGCCAAGCCGGGCTTCTCGGCCGGGCAGCCGCCAAGCCGGGCTCCTCCGGCCGGGGCAGCCGGCGGGCCGGGGCAGCCGCCAGGCCGGGCTCCTCGACCGCGGCAGCCGCCAGGCCGGGCTCCTCGGCCAGGGCAGCCGCCAAGCCGGGCTCCTCGGCCGGGGCAGCCGCCAAGCCGGGCTCCTCGACCGCGGCAGCCGCCAGGCCGGCCTCCTCCGGCCGGGATAGTGGCGGCCGGCACTGCCGCCTGACTTATGACGGCCGGGCCGAGGCCGGGCTGAATCACTGCAGGCCGGCGCGGCGGGGGCCCGCCATCCGATCGCGCCGGCCTGCACGGCCTGCACAGGCTGGCCGTAAAAACGGCAGGCATCGCACCCACTACGGCGGCCTCGCCGTTAAACCCCCGTTCGACAATTGGTCGCTATCAGCGGGGGGCGGCCGCGCCTGTGTGGCGCAGCTGCGTCCGTTTGTGCCCCGGGAGGCTCACAGGGAACACGGGAAATAAATAGACAGGTATGTACAAACATGGCGAGGGCCTGGCATGCCGCCTGTCTGGCTCGAACCGGAAATGGAATTAAGAACGGATCAGACAACCAACAAGCAGGATGAGGCATGCTATGTTATATAATTTGATGTAGGTGCTTTCTCTGGCATTAGATGTTTATGAATACGCCGTTTTTACCCAGCCGAACCCGTCAGCGGACACGTCAGTCTCACCGACAGGCATCAAACTTCACGCTGTGTACTGATGCAAAACCTGCCAAATTCACAGACGCTTGCCTGTCTATCTGTTTCTCTCCATTAATCGCATATTGTTCCACATCTGCCCGCCGTGGCGCAACCACATTGTTTCATCTTTATCGGCGGCTATTATTCATCTCGCTGACAGAGCATCATTTCAAGCGAGAACCTACCATTCACTTTTACATCGCCAAGGTTCTCTAGTTCCTAAGGGAGGGGTCCCATCGACCACTATTACACTATATTTGCCGCGCGTGGCTTAGCCAACCCATTTCGGTGAGGGACTTTTTCTGTTGTGTAGCACTATGGTCCACTAATGCTGCTGCATCTTAAACACGAACAGGCAGTCAGATGGGGAGTATTCACACACCTTCCAAATAATGCGCTGCATTAGAGACTGCAACATACCACTAACCAACTAATATATATATATATATATATATATATATATATATATATATATATATATGTATATATGTATACATACATATATATGGATGTATGTGAGTGTGTGCGTATCTCTCTCTCCCTCTTTCTCTATCACTCTCTCCTTATCTCTTTCTCTCCCTCTCTCTCTCTCTCTCTCTCTCTCTCTCTCTCTCTCTCTCTCTCTCTCTCTCTCTCTCTCTCTCTCACACACACACACACACACACACACACACACACACACACACTCCCTCAACATAGATGGACAGATGGATAGGTGGGGGTACAGATAGATAGGTGGGGGTACAGATAGAACCCCTCCGCCAGCACATCAAGGTAGACGAGAAAGGAGGCTCACGGCAGGACAATATCCACGACAGTGAACAGTCGGTGCCTACAACATCACGGACGGCGGCGCTGCAGTCTGCCTGATCTGTCGCTACACGCCCGTATCGGCCGCTCCAGCCCCGCTGTTTGAAAGGCCGCTGGGCCGGACCGCTGGCGGACCCAGCACAGACCGCTGGTGGGCCCAGCATGGACCGCCGACGGACCCAGCACGGACCGCTGGCGGACCTAGCACGGACCGCTGGTGGGCCCAGCACGGATCGCTGGCAGACCCAGCACGAACCGCCAACGGACCCAGCACGCACCGTTGACGGACCCAGCACGGACCGCTGGCGGACCCAGCACGCACCGCCAACGGACCCAGCACGGACCGCCAACGGACCCAGCACGGACCGCTGGCGGGCCCAGCACGGACCGCTGGCGGGCCCAGCACGGACCGCTGGCGGGCCCAGCACGCCTCGCCCCCGGAGTGAAGCGCCCTCAGAGTGCCGTCACCAGGCCGTGTTGTTGTTCGCCAGTCCGCTGACCGATAGCGGCGCGCTTCGCAAACCACCCGCAGCAGGCGGGCAGCTGGACAAACGGGGCCGCGGGTGGACAGAGGTGTTGGGTGACAGCGGCCTGCCGCACCAGCCTCTGGCAAGGCCGGGGAAGAGAGCCGATGTGGGCCCATTTCTTGCCAGAGAATGTGAGATGCCGGCATTTCTACGTGTCCCTATTTTCACTGCCTACGTGATCAGGTGACCTGTCGAACCGGTTAAGGACTTCGGCCATTCTGCCACAAAAGGTGTACGCTCGTCAAGTCACCAAATAGGATGCATAAGTGAGACGAAATATTGACGAAATACAACAAGGCGGACAAATCCCGAATTGGAACAGCTGACAGGCTGTTCCAGGACGGACCAGCCGCAGACTGGGCCTGAGAGAACCAGCCGGCGACCGGACCGTAGTGGACCAGGCGCGGATTGGACCTGGGAGAACCAGCCGCGGCCTGGACCTGGGAGAACCAGCCGCGCCCTGGATCTGGGAGAACCAGCCGCAGATTGGACCTGGGAGAACCATCCGGCGACCGGACCGTAGTGGACCAGGCGCGGACTGAACCTGGGAGAACCAGCCTCGGACTGAACCAGGGAGAACTAGCCGCAGACTGCACCGAGAAGTATCAGCCACGGACTATGCCTGGGAGGAGCAACCGCGGGCTGGAGCGGACCATACTCAGGTGGGACGTCAGCTACCGAGGCGCCGCATTGAAGCGGGCCATGCTCAGGTGAGTCGTCAGCTACCGAGGCACCGCACTGGAGCCGACCATGCTCAGGTGGGTCGTCAGCTACCGAGGCGTCGCACTGGAGCGGACCATGCTCAGGTGGGTCGTCAGCTCTCGAGGCGCCGCAATGAAGCGGGCCATGCTCAGGTGGGTCGTCAGCTACCGAGGCACCGCACTGGAGCCGACCATGCTCAGGTGGGTCGTCAGCTACCGAGGCGTCGCACTGGAGCGGACCATTCTCGGGTGGGACGTCAGCTACCGAGACGCCGCATTGAAGCTGGCCATGCTGGTGTGGAACGTCAGCTACCGAGGCGCCGCATTGAAGCGGGCCACGCTCAGGCGGGTCGTCAGCTGTCGAGGCGCCGTATTGAAGGGGACCATGCTCGGGTGGGTCGTCAGCTCTCGAGGCGCCGCACCGGACGGTCCGACAAGTCAGGCACCAGGCGCGGCAGCCAGCTCCGCCACCGATAAGCATCGGGCTCTCTGCTGAGCGTGTACTCTCCCGGAAAGAGAAGGCAGCACTCCCGATACGGGCTAGATAAGCGCCGTCCTAAAAGGGGTCCGGCTCGGGCCGTCGGATTACATGGCTCTGACGGCCGCTGTGCAGGGCGGCGGGCGTCCGGCGGCCGCCCGGCGCCGCGTCGGCTCGCTGAGAGGCGGCCGTCCGGAGCCGGCCACGCCGCCGAGCCCGATCGTATCAGGTCGGCC